GGCAATGAGGAGGCTGATAAGCTGGCGAAATTGGCAATCACCCAAGGAAGAGAATGTTATATTTATCCTGATTATTCAGAAATTTTAATTAAATATAAAGAGAAATGTTATACACTTTGGAAAGAATATTTTGATAAAAGGTCACAAGAGAAAGGGATTTGGTACAAAACCATTCAGAGTCAGACTCCGAAAGTGCCTTGGTTAAATCGATGTCTATTGAATAGAAAATATGTTGTATTAGCAATGCGACTTCGTTCACGACACAAGTTTGCTTTCATGATAAAAAGGAAAAAATCTCCAAATTGCGAAACATGCAAGACAATAGAAGATATACAACAATTGCTCGCGGAATGTTCCAAAAATCATCACGAAAAGAAACTACTAGTCGCCAAAACTGACATTAAAATATGTAACCTAGGGGAATATCAAAGCATTCTCTCTGAACTACTGTCAAATGCTGCTCAAATGGTGTATAATTTAGTTAATATTTTGTGTAAATAATTTAACAAATTGTAGTGTGTTATTTAGTTATAAGGTACAATAGGACTGACATGTTAGGTCAAGATTATATGGAGGATGGTCAAGAATTTCTACGTTTTCCTGCTTCAAATACTCAATGGTTTGACCAGCGCTGTGTGAGCTCGCGTTGTGTGTTTCCTAAATTCGTCGATGACTTGTGGTAAACAAACTGAGGCTTACTAATCTGCATTAGCCGTTCTACGATCTTCAAGTGCAATCGTCGCAACATGGCCGGTTTTTGCAATGAACGTGGCCACCATTTTCTTTGAAGTGTTTCGAGAGCGAACAACTTTAGTCGGCTTGGAAAACTTTAGTCTTGGAAGACACAGGTTGTAGATTGTTGTTTAAAATTGGGATCGTACGCATAGATCCAAGATTCGTCACCACTGATGATGTCGTAGACGTAATTTGACTCTCCTCGGTTGAACCTTTGAAGAGTTTTCTTACACCATTTGACGCGGGTCGCCTTATGATCGTCGGAAAGCAAATGCGGCATCCAATGGCAAATTAGCTTTCTCACACCACGCGCTTCATGCAAGATCTTCTGAATGATTGTCCCTGAGATGCCTAATAACGTCTCTATCTCTCGATATGTCACATGACGATCTTGAAGAATTAGTTTTCTCACAGCAACGATGTTGTCTTCAGTGAAGGCGGATTTTGGACGTTCTTCACGAGATTTGTTCCTAAGATTGGTTTGTTCAATGGATATGTAAATATCAGCGTTCGGAAGTCCTCAGACATGGGGCTTTATCATGGAACACAGAAGTTAGCTCTTCGAAACACTGAAGCCGTGTTAGACCTCTTCTAAAGTTGTAAAAGTTATTGCACGGATATTTTCCTTAGTAACATTCATTTTAATACGAGACCTGACAGATTCAAAACGATTCTGTAACTAAACAATTGCATTAATCCTCATACTTTCAACTGTTTTGAGATTCTGACTTTAATTTTTTTTTAAAACTGAACAGTTCCAAATTCAAAATTGCCGATAAATATGTAAACGACTGAACTTAATAGTAAAATATGCTAAAGTAAGTTTAGTGTGTACAATGACGCTGTATCCACAAAAAATGTGTTAAGAAGCCAGTACTCAATGCTTAATTAAACAAAGATAATCCCACACTGATGTTACTGTGGCCTTGTGCGATATAAAGCAGACGCCAGTGCAGGGTGATTACATCTTACAATATTTTTTTCTTAAAAGAATATATATTAAGTTTTTTTTTCGCAAGGAACGGTGTAGAATTTATATTATAAAAATAATTAAGGATTTTTTTAAATAACGCAATCAAGCAAAAATCGAGGATTTGTATTACGTATTTGCAATAAAATACGCATTTTGAAAAATATCCGTATATAATAGGCATGTCATCTCCGGTTGGTCGGCGCTTTCTAACTCTGAGTACTTGCACAGGCACAACCTAGTAGCCAGAATTCTTCACCAGGAGCTCGCTCTGAAATACGGTCTCGTGGAACGGAAAGTGCCGTATTACAAGTACTTGCCGGAAGCCGTGCTTGAAAATGACCGCGCCAGACTCTACTGGGACCGGGCCATCATTACAGATAGGACTATTCTTGCAAATAAGCCTGATATAAGCTGATAGATCGGGCAGAGTCAAGGAATTTTTTGGTTGACATTACCATTCCGTATGACGAGAACCTCCTGAAAGCCGAAAGAGAAAAGCAATCAAAATATCTGGACCTGGCTCACGAGGTGACCGACATGTGGGGTGGTCTGTCGACCGAAATTATTCCTGTAGTCGTGTCTGCAAACGGGTTAATCCCAGCCAGCCTCTCGGGCCATCTGAGGCGACTGGGACTCCGTGACGGACCGCTCCGGGCTCAAATGCAGAAGGCGGTGCTCCTCGATACCGCCTGCATCGTCCCCCCGGTTTCTTTCCCTTTCCCCTTAACCCTCAGCCGTTGGTCTCCCCTGCCGAGGGCTTCCGTCTGGTTGGGCTTTTATTTATTTATGTTAGTATATTAAATATATATTGAAGTATATTTATTTTTTCCTTTTATATATTTATCCAGTCCAACCAGATGTGATTACTCTATCAATAACCCATAATAATAATAATTACGACATTACCATTCCGTATGACAAGGACCTCGTGAAAGCCGAAACAGATAAGCAAACAAACTATCTGGACCTGGCTCGCGAGGTGACCGACATGTGGGGTGAGCTGCTATCCGAACTAGGCGACCTGTGCATCAGCTGTCAGCACCATATCCTCACCGTTAATTTATATAAATATTAGGAGGCAAGCAAAAGTTAAATAATTAAATAATATCTAAAAAATTTGTACATTCCGCTTTCATAACCTAAGTACAATGAAATTTAAGGTAATGGATATAGCCAAGAAATAAAGGTGTTCAAGAAACAGATTATTGAACACTATTTGTCTCTTTAACTCTTCTCTTTTCCTCTTCTTATATATGATCATTGATCTACCTAAAATATGTTGTCAATTTAATATAAAGTAAAGTAAAAGTAAAGTTACAGCCTATATACGTCCCACTGCTGGGCACAGGCCTCCTCTCATTTCTGAGAGGGTTTTAGGGCAAGGAAGTGTCCGCCGCGCTGCCCCAATGCGTGTTGGCGAACTTCACATGTCTTCGAAATATTTTTTTCTTATTCCTCAGACATGCAGGTTTCCTCACGATGTTTTCCTTCACCGCCGAGCACGTGGTAAATACTTAGAATTGCAATTCAATTCTAAAGCACTTAAAATTGCAATTAACAATTTCATTGGTGCCGGCGGGGATCGATCCCGGGTTACTCGCATTCTGTTATATTTACAGCGAGCGCTGCAACCATCTGAGCTATCACGGCTCAATTTAATATATAAGTTTATATTTTTAATTATTTATTTTTTAATTGCTATTCACTTGTGGGTGGGTAGTTTGAAATAGTGCTCGCCTCAAAGCCAACTCAGGGTGGCCGAGCGAAGCAAACGAACAACAGGCAAATCTGTTGAGTGTCGGTAACACTAGTTTCGACCTTTATGTCGAATATAAGTATCGTCGTTAATATCCTTTTCAAAATTATTACTCACCATTAAATCGTAAAACTGACATATCCATAATTGAATTTTGACGTATTTTAGTCCATAGCACATTGGTTTTACTGCCTTTACTACGAATTACGCCATAACGAAAAACTGACTATACCCATATCTCGCCTTAAACTATATCCATCAGGTCCGTTCATGTCTATCAAAATTTTTAACAAACTCCCAAACTCGATAAAAAAATAGAAAAACACACTAATTTTACAAATAAACTAAAGGAATTTTTAATTTGTAAACACTACTAAACACTAAACGAATACCTAAATGACAAATTTTAAATGCCTACCTAGAATACCTACAGTTGCTATGTTATATAGTATATTCATCATTATTGTTTCGTTATAATGGCCCTCCTCTCTCTTAATTGCCGTGCCCTGCAGGGCCCATAATGATCTCATAGTTTTAAGTTAAAACATAAAATGTTCTCACTACGTTAACTGTAACATTATGGATGCAACAAATAATATGAATATATGAATATAAACATATTACATCAACAAATATGGCAGCCAGTAATCACGGAGGCGACTCAGGGGTTCTTACTAACTAATAGTAACATACCTTGTCGCTGTATTAATCGCGCATATTAGTTGTACGAGTATAGAGGTGTGTTATAAATTATAATAGATGTTTTATTTAATAGTAAACAACAAATTGAATAGATTTTTTTGTTACGTGCTTAATTCGTTAGGATAAAATATTAGATAATAGATAGAAAATTAAATTTATTAAAATTTTTTTTTGATTCGAACATTGGGCGCGTTCCTAAGGAAAAATTTTTTTTCTATCGTAATGAACTCATCCTATCGTACTTTTGCCAGTTTCAAGTTATAAGAAATTTTCCTTTACGATTGTTAGTTCAAAAACTTCTCACCATAATATGTTGATGTATCACGTTACGGTGTTTTGGAAGATTTTGCCGGGAGCCAGTCGTTGAAGACAATATCTCAAATTCTTAAAATGGATAAAAAAATTGAGATTTATATCAACATCTGAGAACCCACTTGTTTTGTTCTCTTCACTATAGTTCACGTGCGCAGACACTTAATACACAAAAACCCATAACTTTTACGAATCCAAATGCACTTCAAACAATTATTTATACAACATAGCATATACAATACTTATAACAATAATCCACCAGTGGTCAAATTACCGTCAAAACTCCGTGAAGTATTTTTTCTGTTGAAGTCATTAACCTTTTGTATTATGTAACAACATTAACAAAACATAACGTTACTACAAAAAATTATGTAACGTATCAAAGCAATAAATAGTAATGATCTTCGCGTATTTTTTGTGCGAGTAGATATCAAAAGCAAAACCTGTCTTACTGCGACTAATTTCATTTAATGAACCTTTTGATTACAGGTTGTTATTGTTACTATGAAATAAAAAAAGAAAATGGCGAACAATGCAGCCAAAAATCATCAGTACGGAGTAATTGCAAAAGGATTAAACTCTCCGGAAATACGTTCAAATTCAACGATACCGTATGTTGACGAGAATGTCGAACTCGAACTCGTTAAAGACGAGGAAAAGATAAATCCAAAAGGATTTAAAGATGTTGAGAGGGAAGGTACGGGAATGCTGCCGATAATGGAAAATAAAATACATGCGAGTGACCTAGGATCAGTTCATACTCCTAACAGTGACACAATAGTAGTAAATACTCCAGAAGGAACTCTGTACATTACGCTAGACCCAGATTCCAAGTCTAGCAAACCTACAAGTCCTAGCACTGAGTCTACGGATTTGTCAGATTCTTCACCCACTACGTCAAAGGCAATTGGTGCACAGGAGTCTAGTGATATGATTGTAGCGGAGAAAGAAAAAGAGCAGAGGAGGGAAGGGCTTAGGAGGAATTCCATTTCCATGCCGACATTGCAGAATTTGGAGTCGGAGGTTCTGAAACAGCATTACTCGGCCAATCCAGAGGAAGGGGTGAGATAATTTTTCATATTACTTTAATTCCATTGTCCATCCAACGTGTGAAGAAGTCCTACTGTCTCGGCACGGGCCTCCACTCACTTCTGAGAGCGTTTTGGGGCAAGGAAGTGTCTGCCGTGCTACCACAATGCGTTTTGGCGCAATTCGCATGTCTTCGATTTTTTTTTATTGTCTGATACAGGTTTCCTCACGATGTTTTCCTTCCCCGGTGAGCACGTGGTAAATCAGCACATAAAATTGCAATTAACAATTTCATTGTGGCTTGCGGGGATTGAACCCGAGTTGCTCGCGTACTGTGGAATTTAGCTAAGACATCTACCGCGGCTCTGATTATACTGATAAGGTTATAATATGTCTTACTGTGTGTCAGTATACTTTATCTATCTCTATCAGGACTGCACATCAGTCTACTTATATCTGGGGCCAAGAGTCACAGGTAAAACTTGCAAAAAATAGAAGGGGGGGGAGGCTCCTTCTACTTTTTGTAAGTATCGCAAACTATATATAAAATCGGTATAAGTCTTTATAGCCTATACTTATGTATATTATTGATAAATTGGCTTTTCTCCGCGACTTTATTTACGTAGAACTAAAATAAAAAAACCCAGAAAATCTATAATAGTGGCCTTTTTGTAAGCCTTTTATACGTGGTAGTTCCAAGGTGCAGTTACGAGTAGCTTATAGTTGTAGCACGAATGAGTCGGCCCGATCCGGTTAGGACCACGCTCTTACAGAATACGAGCGTAAAATAGCTGCCTAATGCTGTTGTGGTTCGTATGGTGAGCCTAAGAACTTTTATACTGGAAACCAGGCATTCCATCTTAGTACGTAGATTCCGTGAAAAATGGGGACTTGGTTTAAATATACTTACATATACGTTCAATTTTATTTGTTTTGCTTAAGTATTTTCAGTTCTCGTCTTTTTTAAACATTATCACGAGTTCTATGCAAACGGTGCTAAGCGGAATTGCGTTATAGATTAGATAAGATTACTTGTATATGCCTTGTATGAGAGATCGGAGTAACGAATCCAAGGCGCAGTGGCTTAGCATTGAGTTGCAGCGCTGGGGCCTTGGGTTCGAATCCCGCACGGAACAAGTGTCTGTATGGCCTACAAATAATTGTTCCTGGTCTGGATGTTTGTTCTTGTGTAATTTATGATTTTAAACTAGAAAATATAAGCTAGAAGATACGCGAGAGAATACAATTGGGAATATATATGATATCCTAATGGGTAACGGTTTTTTAAGAAGAAAAAAAACAGAATCCGTTTATGTTATGGCTGCGGTCGTAGATTAAATCTTACATAATGTGTGTGTGGTCGTGGAAAATTAAAAATACCTTTTAAAATGTTTCACAATTTTTTAAATACATTATGTTTTCCTATATAGGTACTCACTGTATGATTGTTTCTGAGTCTTTTTGTGTGTACATAAATAATTAAAAAATAATCACACTTAACGTCTTTTTTCATAGAATAGGAGTGGTTACTCTTCATGAGAGACAACGTATCTACATTTTGATTCTTCATTGAAGATTGATGTATGTCTGTGTTTATTTTGGTCACCCTTATTCTATAATATAAAATTAAAACGTTCTCTCAAATTTCGAACACAGTTTAAACTTCTGAAAGCTCTCTTTTAACGGTTTGTTAGCACACTGGTAGAGACCTGGTCATACTAACATGTGTTAGCATGACTACGTTGTAGTACTATATTCTTAAATATGGCGTACGGTGTGATATTGATGATGCAGGAGAAAATCCTAGTATAGGATTAATGTCTCTATAAAAAGAACATTGTCACAAGGCAATCAGATACTAAAGGACTCGTATGTGTCTCGTACGTGGTAGAGCCAAGCTTCAATTATATTATGGTTGTAGCACGAATGGGTCGGCTCGGCTAGCGTAGGACAATAGCAGCTTAATGCTGCTGTGTTTCGTATGGTGAGTGAGAATGGGAGACCCTTTTTACTGGAAATGAGGCATTACATCTTAGTCCTCACGGGTGAACGCGTCTGCATTTTGAGTCTTAATCGTGTATAAATGTAGATGTTTATGGGCCACAGCATCCACTTACCAACGGGTTAACTGTGTTCACGTTTGTCACCCTTAAAAAAGTTGAAGCTTAGTTTGGATCCAACGTCAGAGAGAGCAGGAAATGCATAACACTACATTTCTAATAGATATTAAGCACAAAGAAACATCTGTCTTTATCTTCAACGAATAAATAAAATGGAACCTACTTTTGGTTTAATTTATGATTTTGTACTTCATAAAAACCGCGCGCGTTCACGTCACGTGAAATCCGCTAGGTAATAAACAAATCATGACCTTGTGCAATGAATCATTATCGTTGTGAAAGAGACCTGTATAAATGATGTAACAGTCTACATATTAATTCATTAATTCCAGCTTATGGAAGTCCGCTGCTGCGGATAGAATGACTAATAGGGGGGAAGCTTGCCACAGTAGTTATAACACAGAACCATCCGAACGTGTCACAAGCATGCTACAGCTATATTATGGCAGTAGCAAGAATCGGTCAGCTCGAACAGGGCAGGACCTAACAGAGTACCAGCGTAAAATAGCAGTTTAGTTCTAAAGTACAGTGAGTGCAAATATTCGGAGACCTTTTTAGTCCTCAGTGGCGACAACGCAATCTCCATTTTGATTCTTAATCGAAGATGTTGACGCCATTTTGCCACAGCATTCAGTAACTAAAATATTTAAATGAAAACAAATGAAAATTAATTTGTAAACCTACTCATTGTCAAGGTCTCCCCTAACAGCGATTTGTTGCAACGACGGCGTAGTTTTTTGTACTTAGGTACTGCTTAGAATATTGGTTTTATGACACATTTGGAATAAAAATATTTTGACTTTGACTTTGACTAGCAGCGATTGAAACTCAAACTCAGAGCTTATTATCAACCGATTACAAAAAAGGAGAAAGTTCTCAATTCGTCGGCATCTTTTTTATGTGGATATATTAGTAAACGGTATGGTTTCCATTTAAATTTTAACGAAATCGGTCGAGCTAGAGCCAGAGTTAGTCTAGGTTTTTAAAAAATCAATAATATTTTTTTTATTTAAATGCCGGTGCTTCTCGTGCGGTTCCATATAAATTTGATCAAGATCTGAACAGTGGGTTTTGAGTTATCCTTAATAATGCGTATTTAACTGACTTGAACTACATTGATGATGTTCTCATTACATTTATATTGAAGTCGGTTGTACAAAAAACCACTTGTATTAGAAAAAGTCGTTTATTAATCTTAGTTTTATACGTGGTAGAGCCACGCTGCAGCTATATTATGGTTGTAGCACGAATGGGTCTGCTCGACCAAGGCAGGACGACGCTCACAGAATACCAGCGTAAAATAGCTGTATAATACTGCTGTGTTTCGTATGTTGAGTGTAGAGATCCGGTGATCCTTTTTTACCGGAAACGAGACATTCCGTCTTAGTCTACAGAAGTGACAACGCATCTGCGTTTTGATTCTTAATCGAGGATAAATGTAGATGTCTATGGGCCACAGCATCCACTTACCACCAGGTGGACTGTGAGCTCGATTGTCACCCTTATTCTATAAAAAATGTTTTAAATTAGTGTTTAATTAATCTTATTTATATTCGTTTTGAACTAGAGTATGTTTCAATACGGAAGTGCCGTTGTAAACATGCAAACTACAAAGTAATCTATTTTTTAATATAATAAGGATGACAATACGGTCCTCTGGACGTTAAGTAGATTCTGTGACACATAGATGTCTACATCTTTCCTCGATAAAAAATCAAAATTCTGATGCGTTGTCACATTTGAGGACTAAGATGAAACGTTTCGTTTCCAATAAAACGGTCTCCGGTTCTTTACTCACCATACGAAACACAGCAGCAATAAGCTGCTATTTTTACGCTGGTGTTCTGTGAGACCGCGGTCCTTCTCCGGTCCAGCCGACCCATTCGTGCTACAACTATACTAATAATAAAGCTGCAGCATGGCTAAACTACGTAAAAATTTTACAAATTAAATTTAACAGCAAATGTTAAATTTCGCGAAGACTGTAGCACCGCGTTGTGTTATAAGCACACACATATACAAACATTGTAACATTCAACATTCAGAAACCGGAATAAAAAAGTGCAAAAAATTGGACAAGTGCGAATAAGACTCGGGCTCTGACGGTTTCGTATAGATAAAATTAAACTAAAAAAATTCGTATAGCAGTGCAAGCATTAATGTAAATACTTATGATCACCAACATAATTTTTTTATTTAATTAATTCCGATTCTTCAATCGTCATATAAAAATTATCAATCAAATGAATTATAACCTGACTGAATATTAAAGTAAAAAAATTGAACTATATTAATATTAACTGAACTATTCTAATATTCGCACAAGTGTAATTTGTAATTTGTTTATCTTGTACTTTATCTTATGAAAAAATGTTTAACTGAGGATTGAAATTCGACCCTTAACTAACATGTGATAATGTATAATGATTTCTTTTATTTACACGAACACTACACGTTGTATAAAAGTACATAACATAACATAAACACTCACGCCTGTCACCCAGAGGGGTAGGCAGAGACTACGGACTTCCATTTGGCACGATCCTGACATACCTCTTTCGCCTCCTTTACATCCATATATCTACGCATACATGCTCGTCGCTTAAGGGTACTTCTAACGTGGCCCCTTTTCAAAATATCGCCAATTTGGTCGATAAACTTTTTTCTAGGGCGTCCCTTCCCGATTCGGCCGTTCACATCTGCCATATAAATTTGCTTTGTCATTCTTTCCTCATTCATTCTTTCCACATGACCAAACCACCGAAGCATTCCTTTCTTAATCCTGGTCACAACATCATCTTGCATACCACATTTATCTCTTATCACGCAATTTCTCACCCTGTCATTCAGATTCAACCCTAGCATACTCCTTATAGACCGCATTTCTACAGCATTTATTCTACTTTCGTGCTTCTTCTGCTACACCCAGCTTTCACTACCATACATTAAAGTAGGGACTAACACAGCATTATGAATTACCATACGTGCCTTTTTTGACACATTCTGGTTCATCACAATAGAGTGTAGTGCCCCATTCACTCTATTCCCTGTATTTACTCGTCGTTCTATATCCCTATCATATCTACCATCCCTGCTAAATACACATCCCAAATGCACAAACTCATCCACTTGCTCAATTAACTCTCCTTCTATTCTTATTTCACATACCGTTTTGCTTTCTTCTCTTTCAAAAACCATCACTTTCGTCTTACTTGCGTTTACTTTCGTTCCCCTTTCTTTTAATTCCCAGTTCATTAATGTAACCATCATTTGCAACTCAGCCGCCGATGACGCAAATATGACTTGATCATCGGCATACAAAAGGCATTTGACGGTTAACTCGACCATTCTTAACCCACATTCCTCATCTTTCAAAGTTTGCATACACCTGTCCATAAATAGGTTGAACAGCCAAGGGGAAGCTACACAGCCCTGTCTGACACCTTTTTGGATGCCAAACCAGTCCGAGTAGACCCCATTGATCCTGACACAAGCACTAGAGTCCCTATAAAGAGACCTTAATGCCTGTATCAAACCAGCGCTCAACCCATATGAGTTCAGTGTTTGCCATAACACATTCCTGTCCACTCTGTCATAAGCCTTTTCCAAGTCCATGAACGCACAAAAAACTTTCTGGTTTTTGGCCAAAAACTTCTCCGCAATCATGCGCATGGAAAAGACTTGATCTGTACACCCCATTCCCTTTCTAAAACCCGCTTGCACATCCCAAATTTTTCCATCAGTTTCTTTCATAACTCTTTCAATTAACACCTTAGCATACAGTTTACCCACAATACTAAGCAAGCTGATTCCACGGTAGTTTTTGCAGTCCTGCTGTGACCCTTTTCCTTTATATATTGGTACTATAACTGCTTTACACCAGTCATCCGGTACCCGTTTTAATTCCCAACATAAATTAAACAAGGTGTACAACAGGCCTGCCACCATTCCCTCTCCAGCCCTTAGCATCTCGAGTGATACTCTATCATATCCAGCTGCCTTACCTGCTTTCATGCTTTTCATTGCTTTCATTATTTCATCTACACTTATCTCCTTACCCCTTTCCACTTCTTTCGGAATTTCTAGTTCATTTAATTCAGACGACTCTTCACTCATAAACACGCTTTCAAAGTATTCCTTCCATCTGTTTAAATTCGAAGCTTCATCATTCAGAATACATCCATTCTCGTCTCTTATAGCATTCATTAGAGGCTGTTTTGTATTTCCCCTGGCAGTTCCTACGAGTTTCCAGAACATTTTTATGTTAGCCTGGAAATTATCAGATATCCTTCATCATTCTTATCCGTTCTTTCTTTCTTTTTCCTTTCAACAACTTCTTTTACTCTCTTATTTAGACGTCTAAATTTTGCCTTTTTTCTTTCAATCTCATCATTCATACCAGAAGAGTTACCAGCTTTGGTTGCTGGTAAATCTAACCACGCTTTCTTCTTTGATACAACTTCCACCTCGTACCTCATCATCCCACCACAACGTATTACTTTTCCTTTCATTTGTTCTCTTACTTAAACCACATACTTCGGTGGCGGCATCCACCATACATATAAAAGTACTTTTACGGATTTCATCGCGTTTTGCCCGACGTTTCTAACAACACCATAGATCACACTGTGTACAGAAAAAAGACTCATACAAACCGATATTTAAACGGTGAATCTCACCATGATCCTTCACAGCAAGCTATCGTGACCCTTAATTTTAATTGTTTTCTTTTATAGGAGAGAGAACAAACGAGCATACGGCTCACCTGGTGGTAAGTGATTACCGCCGCTCATGAACAGCTGCAACTGCCTTTTAAAAAGGAGTAGGCTCTTTTCTTCAAGGTTCCTAAGTCGTATCGGTCCGGTAAAATCGCCGGTGGTAGTCGATTCCACAAGGAAGTTGTGCGAGCAAGAAAACTTCTTTTTAAACGCACAGTGATGGACCGCCAGTCATCCAGATGGTATGGATGGTATCGCGAGTTTTGTCGCGATGTACAGTGGTGAAATTGTGCAGCTGCAATTAGTTCGAACAATTCCTCAGAGCACTCCCCGTCGTAGATGCAATAAAAGACGCAAAGAGATGCAACATATCCTCGCAGTGCCAGTGAGTCAAGCCGATCGGAAAGCTCGGTCGCCAACGATTCGAATTGCTCGGCGCTGGATGCGATCAAATGGAAGAAGTTGACACTGGGGTTCCTCAGCCCAGAGATGAGAATACAGTATTCTATGTGCGGTAGAACTTGCGCCTTGTAAAATTGCAGGCGGTGTGTTGGCAAAAAAATACTTTTGCGCTCTGCTGAACACGCCAAGCTTTTTAGAGGCCAATTTGGCCTTCTCTTCCAGGTGATCACAAAACTGCACGTCACTCGAAACCGAGCATTCCGATACTGACTGAGGCAACAAGGGGAGTACCTTGAAACTGAGGAGATACGACTAAGGAATTCTTTTTAGCGGCGTTGTGCTGTTAGACCTTGCCTTTTGTCGAATTTTGTGATTATAAATCAATAGGAAGTACCCTACAGGCTCAAATGAGAGTTTAAGTGTATCAAAACATATGACATAAACAGCCACAAGAAGCTGTATTTTTTGCAATTCGAGGTAACCGTAGATCTTAGTATTAAATATTTATTTCAATTTGATACCTCTCTCCGTTTCTTAGAAGAAGGGGCTTGACAAACGAATAGACGGAAGGACACTAAATTGATCGTATAAGGGTTCTATTTTCTCCTTTGATCTGTCATTACTAATGACTGTTGTACATAGTTGCCATTTTAGTAGTTGTTATTTGCCATATTTGCCACGCAAGGCTAACGGTTTGTCAATTACAATTTTTTTATTCAGTTGTTATAAGGTTGCTGCTACAGTTCCCCTCTGTCACCTCTCAAGTCACCCAGGGATGACATGGGGTAGTGGATATTTTTGCACCGCCACACACGGTTACTTTGAGTACAGTACGGAACCCTAAAAATGCGGTCAAATTTGGCAAACGTGTTAGCTGAGACAGGGCTGGGGAAGACCGCCAGAAGATGTCGAGTTACTGAACATTAAAGGTGGTTAGTGAAAACAACAAATTGTGCCAAATTAAAATTTGCAATCTATTCGACAAACGTGGACAGTAAACAATTGAATTTGCGTATTAGTTACTATCGCTGCATCACGTGCCCTATCAAAGAAAAGATATCAAATATCAGTAATGATAATAATGGAAAGAAATTTATTTTAGAGTTTCCTAGTGTGTTGTTTTGTAGGTCTGTGGCTAGATGCGCTAAAGTTGTTTCAAAGCGATTTTTTTAAATGTGCATCCTAAAAATTTTAAGTGCTTTAGAAATTGTTTTGTGTGCAAGTATTAGTGAGAGGTGCTAAATTTAATGACAAGGTAATATTTAAATTTTGTAATGTGTGAACATATCTCCTTGAATTAACAAGATATCTTATCTTGCATCGAGACATTAAACGCAAAGACAATATTTGTAGGATCTATTAGCTATACCAAGATAGGACGCTCACCGATAAGACTCCAAAATGAGGATGCGGAAGAAGCCTGATCTCCGAATAAACATACCATCCTATCCACATGACTATGTGGAGATGCCACAAGAAACAAAACGAATGATTCTCAAAGCGCATCGTACACATAGTGACGAGAAAAGTAAAGACGATGATGAGGCGGGATCTTCGAAGGGTGGCTTTATAATTGGTAGTCCACTTAGCCCTAAAGATAATGTGTTAGGAGAGCTCCGATCTCCAACTCCTGAAATTAAGTTCGAAGAGCCAAAAGAGAGTAAAGAGGATAAGGAAAAAGAAGATAGATGTTCTGTTAGTAGTGATAGTCCTGTTGTTTATAGAAGTCAGTTGACGCGAACGCCTTTCTCGGCGCCCGATAGGCTGAAGAATTATGAGGTGGAGGCTTTAAGGAAAAAACACAACGGTGTAAGTTGACATAATTATTTATTTATTTTTGCTGATGGTAGAGCCACGTTGCAGCTATATTATGGTTGTAGCACGAAAGGGTCGGCTCAACCGGGGTAGGTTCACGCTCTCAGACAATACAAGCGTAAAATAGGAGCTTAATACTGCTGTGATCCGTACGGTGAGTGTAGATATCCGGAGATCCTTTTATTACTGGAAACGAGGCGAGCGAGGACCTCAGGGGTGACATCGCATCTGCGTTTTGATTCTTAATTGAGGATAAATGAAGATGTCTACGGGCCACACCATCCACTTACCATTAGGTAGAGTGTGTGCTCGTTTGTCACCCTTATTCTGTAAAAAATATATTTTTAACTACGATATATTGGCGGTGTAAGAATACCCACTACCCCATATCGTCCTCAAACTGAAACAGGAGTTGCCAGCAGCATATTCTTGATAACAACTCAAATTTATAAAATACTTCGGTTGCCAACCCATCTGCCAAGCGTGGCAACTATGGCAGAATCACCCCTAAGAAGAAAGCTTCGAGGGAGACCTATGTTCAGAAGACTTTTATAGGCTCTAATGGATAGACGACATTAATTAAAACCGTTAAACCAATTACATTTAAAGACAAAATTTTCATTGTTATCCCTTACAAAACTTCAAGTATTCAGACATTATCACCGACCATTTGTCCGCAAACAGGTCGCACTCAGGATTTGTGTCCTGGAGAGCATTAAGTGCGGTGAAGATACGTAGAACAGGAATTAAGATAATGAACCAAACTTCAATAAAAAATATATTTATTTATTTTGACAGAGTTACAGAACAGTAAGAAGTTTATTACTACAATGTTCGATATTAACTGATTACAATTGTCTATTTATACGAGGGTGGATTGAAAAGTACTCGGCCTAACCAAGAAATTAAACACATACTAAATCAGTTATATTTTTATTTTTCTACATAATCACCATCAAGTTCAATACACTTTTGCCACCTCCCCTTCCAAGCATTTAGACCGTTGAAAAAAAATGATTCTTCCTTAGAGTCAAAATATGCGTCTACAGCTGCTTTGACCTCGTCGTTTGTCGAAAATCTTTGACCTCCCAAGTGTTTTTTTAGGTTAGGGAACAGAAAGAAGTCTGATGGTGCCAGATGAGGTGAATACGGCGGATGCGGTAACAGTTCAAAGCCACAGTTGTGAATTTCAGCCATTGACTGTACTGACGTGTGAACACGGGCGTTATCTTGATGAAACAGGACTTTTCTTCTGAGCATTCCTCGACGTTTTTCTTTTATTTCCTCTCGTAAACGACGTAGTAAGGTGCAGTAGTAATCAGAGTTTATAGTCTGACCCCTTTCAAGATAATCAATCATAATCACACCTTTCGAGTCCCAGAATACTGAAGCCATCACCTTATTTGCTGACAAAATCGACTTAGCCTTTTTAGGGGGTGGTGAACCAGGTCTTCTCCACTGTTTTGATTGTTGTTTTGTTTCCGGTGTACAGTAATGAACCCATGTTTCGTCCATAGTAACAAAACGATTCAAAAAATCATCTGCATCGGCTTCAAATAACTCCAAACAGTCGCGTGAAATAGTCAATCGCGTCCTTTTTTGTTCAACTGAAAGCAGTCGCGGAACCCACCTCGCAGACACCTTGTGGAAACCCAACTCGTTGACAATTATGTTTTGAGTTCGTTCATAAGAGATGCCTATAATCTCGGCTATCTCTCTAATTTTTAATCTGCGGTCTCCCATTATTAAATCAAGTACTTTTTTAATATTTTCGTCAGTAGTTGACGTCGAAGGCCTTCCAGAGCGGGGTTCATCTTTCACACTCTCTCTACCACGCTTAAATTCTGCTATCCATTTTTGACGGATGAATATGACAGAGCACAATCGCCTAATGTACTGACCATGTCATCATGGATGGCTTTTGATGATAGCCCCTTCTTATGGAGGTACTTAATGACGGCACGCTGCTTGATTTGCTCCATTCGCGGAAATTATGTCCGATTACTTTGTTAATAAATTTATAAAATCACAACTAATTATCGCACACGTTTCGAACTTCACACAATGAATTAGTCTGAACTGAACTAAATAATGTGGGTAGATTTGATTTTTAGAATTGATCTGTGTTAGGCCGAGTACTTTTCAATCCACCCTCGTATTTAAACTATATGCAACAAAACTATTTACTAAGCTTATTTACTGCATACGCTTGACCCAGATGGGATTGCTGATGATGTGCGAACGAATGAGATTTGGCGGGGGTGCTCAGCCTTAACTCGCGCGTAACGATGCGTGCCCATGGTACATAATATTACGACAGTAGTTATTTAGTACAAAAATCGACACAGTTCGGCACTCAGGTCTAGAGGGTCTATCTTTCCCGCGAATTATTTTACGCGCCTTGATAGCTTGTTGACATGCTCGTAGTACTTGCAATGAGTAGTTAACTGTATATTTAACTGTCCTGGTAGAAGTTTAAATTTAGTAAATTACTTTAAACTTAGTATATTTTGCATATAATTTACACCCTTGGTTTCAGCTGCACAAAGCAAAACACAAAATAAAAATTTGAATTTATTATAGTAAATAAGGTAAAAACTGTATGGTAAGTTTAGTACGAATGGGTCGGCTCGACCGGGGAAGGACCACGCTCTCACGGAATACCAATGTAAAATAGCAGCTTAATACTGCTGTGTTTCGTATGGTGAAGGTAGAGATCCGAGAAACGAGGCATTCCATCTTAGTCCTCAGGGGTGACAACGCATCTGCGTTTTGATTCTTAATCGAGGATAAATGTAGATGTCTATGGGCCACAGCAGCCACTTACCATCAGCTGGACTGTGTGCTCGTTTGTTACCCTTATTCTATATAAAAAAACTAAACGATGACTTATTACGTACTCGGCGGTGAAGGAAAACATCATGAGGAAACGTGAATTTCTGAGAAATAAGAAAAAATATATTTCGAAAATATGTGAAGTTCGCCAACACTCATTTGGTGCAACGTGGCGGTCATTTCCTTGCCCTAAATCTGCCTCAGATATGTGAGGCCTGTGCCCAGCAGTGGGACGTATATAGGGGAGGAATTATTTTATCTACATATTTATATGGAACCATCCCTGAAGTAAGAACTATTGATTAAAACAATAATCTTTAAAATAGCTAATATCGCGTAACATGCATATGAGTACAAAGCATTTAAGACATTTTCGAAGTTGTAGAGTCATGTTGCAGCTATATTATTGTTGTAGCACGAATGGGTCGGCTCAACCGGAGTAGTAACACGCTCTCACAGAATACTATCTTATAATAGCAGCTTAATGCTGCTGTGTTTCGTGTGTTGAGTGTAGTGAACTGGAGATCTTTTTTACTGGAAACGCCGCATTCTATCTTAGTCCTCGGAGTTTCAACGCATCCGAATTTTTATTCCTAAGCGAGGGTAGATGTAGATGTCTATGGGCCACAGATTCCTAATATCATCAGGTGAATTGTGTGCTCATTTATCACCCCTATTGCATAAAAAATACGCTCAATTTGACAACTTTGAAATTCTTTTTTAAAATTAACATAACTTTCATTATTATTTTAAAAAAAATGCTCGGTTGGATCAGCGCGCAAAACTCTGGGTCAACGTGTTGCCTCGCAACGCTAGACCGCTTTCTAAATTATCATCATAATTTAAACAATCAATAACAATATGTCCAATTTCCTAAAATTTACAACATGCCTCATTTTAATATTTGAATGACACACCTAGAACGAAATATTAATACGACGAGCATACGACAGACATATTTAAATCCATGTATGTTTTGAATACCATGGTCACTGGATACAGTGGGGGCGGTATAAAAATATCTAACTACCCCCTATATCATAAAAATATCTAACTACCCCCTGTATCATCTCGTGGGTGTCGTAAGAGGCGACAGAGGGAAACAAATCAGGATATGTATATCAGCGTTTTCCTAAAAACGACTAAAAGAAAATAAACTGCAGTTGCCAACCCGCTTGCCAAACTTGGCGCCATGGAAAATATCCCCTCTATATGTTCAGTAGTGGACTTTAACAGGCTGTAACAATAACAATGCCGTTATCGTTACTATTACGGGCACTGATTTAAAATCAGTAAACCAGGTTTGTACAGTAGAGCGTCGTTTATCCGAATCAATTGGGGGACATAGGTGTTCGGAAAACCGGTTTGTTCGGATAATCGAACTATGTAATTGTATGTACCAATATACTAATAAAAACATATTTATAATATTTAATATAAATTGAATTTATAATTTAATTATATGACAGTTGTAATACAGCTAAAGCAGTGATACGATTATTTACTTTAGACCAGATGCCGCTAATTCACGACGCGAGGCAAGAGTTTTTCTTGGCAAAGCCTTCCAATTGAGTCCAGTTTCGTCTGAATTGTTATTGTGTTTGATGTAATAAAACTAAATGATACTAAATGTTTTCTAAAACATAATTTTCTTGTTTCAATACGTCGCTTAATTTGATTTTGAAAGAATCAGCTGCTGAAGAACCAGCAGACAGTTTTGCTCCCTCCCTGTATTTGAGGCTCACGAATGCCATGTCTTGACTTAAACCGTTTCAACCAGCCGTAGTTCGACGGTCCTCCAAGTTTTTCATTTAATGTTTTGCCTTTTCACATAGAACGGCATCAGAGGTAGGTTCTCCTTGCGATTTATTTTGTGTAAATCACTTGTAAACAGCGTCATCGAGATCGGTGTTCGTGACGAGCTGCAGTTTTACGACTTGTTGACCCATTAGTAAAATCATGGCTGGATATAAAATTGGATATGGTCGTCTTTTGTTTTTTATATCAGTAATTGTCAGCTTAATCACTTTGTACTTCTTAAATAACTTGGTTGCAGATTCGCCTTTCTCTAATCGTTTGCTAATCTCGTATTTATATTTTATCGGTACGGAACGTAGGCCAACACTGAGGTGCCGAGGACCGAGGTAGCAGTTCGGTTA